ACCTCACACCTACTACTTAAAGGAGAGGTCTCAGTCTGCATATGATGGGTTGGCTCCACGAGAGAGACAGCATGGTAAGGGGAACACTGCTCCTGTCATGGTGATGACATGGTGGCCAGGAAGCAGACAGCAGGGAGCTGCCAGGGGAGAGCTGTACCCTTCTGGGTCATTGCCCAGTGATCTGCCCTTCTGGCCAGCCCCTACCTGATCTGTTGATTAAATCACAGGTGAGTATAGCATCCCCGTAACACAGTCACTTTCCAGCCCACTTCTAAACACATGAGGTAGGGACTGCGGGTGGTCGGGGCTCCGGGCCGGGGCGGAGGAGCCATCTTGTGCCCGGGGCCTGTGGGGAGGCCGGGGAGGGGGCCCCGGGTGGCGCAGGCGACTACGGGAACGGCGTGGAGTCTGAGGAACTGGAGCCAGGGGAGCTGCTGCTGGAGCCCGAGCCCTAAGAGGAGCCGCCCGGGCCCCGCGCCCCCCCCGGGAGCTCCTGGCCCTGGGCCTGGCTCCGGAGCTGCCAGTAGCCAAGAGGAGGAGGAAGAGCCGGGGCTAGTAGAGAGTGACCCGGGGGACGGCGCCATTGAGGACCCGGAGCTGGAAGCGATCAAAGCTCGAGTCAGGGAGATGGAGGAAGAAGCTGAGAAGCTAAAGGAACTGCAGAATGTGGTCGAGAAGCAGATGAATATGAGTCCACCTCCGGGCCATGCTGGCCGTGATCATGTCTATTGAAGAGAGAATGGAGGCCGATGCCCGTTCCATCTATGTTGGCAATGTGGACTATGGTGCAACAGCAGAAGAGCTAGAAGCTCATTTTCATGGCTGTGGTTCAGTTAACCATGTCACCATACTTTGTGACAAATTTAGTGGCCATCCCAAAGGTTTTGCTTATATAGAGTTCTCAGACAAAGAATCAGTGAGGACTTCCTTGGCCTTAATGAGTCCCTGTTTAGAGGAAGACAAATCAAGGTGATCCCGAAACGGACTAACAGGCCAGGCATCAGCACAACAGACCGAGGTTTCCCACGTGCCCGCTACCATGCCCGGACCACCAACTACAGCAGTTCCAGTCCCGATTCTACAGTGGTTTTAACAGCAGGCCCCGAGGTCGTGTCTACAGGGGCCGGGCTAGAGCGACATCATGGTATTCCCCTTACTAAAAAAAAGTGTGTATTAGGAGGAGAGAGAGGAAAAAAAGGGGAAAGAAGGGGGAAAAAAGAATATTTAAAAAAAGAAAGAAAAACAGAAGATGACCTTGATGGAAAAAAATATATTTTTTAAAAAAAGATATACTGTGGAAGGGGGGAGAGTCCTATAACTAACTGCTGAGGAGGGACCTGCTTTGGGCAGTAGGGGGAGGCCCATGGGGTGGGGCAGGGGGCTGTTCTTTCACTCTGGGGATCCACCACGGACACTTCTCAACTGTGCAAGCTGCTGCCCATGTGTCCCTGCCTTACTTCACCCCCCCGGGGGCTGCGTGAGTGTAGGTGGGCATGGGTGGTAGGAGGGGTTCTTTTACCCAGGGCTCTGGAGGACACCAAACTGTTCTGTTACCTTCCCTTCATCTTCTCCCTGCTTTTCACAGCCCCTGCTGCCTGCTCCTGTCCTGCCAGGGTTGCCACCCACCCCACCCCTCCAGATTGCCTGGTGATCTGTTTTGTTTCCTTTTGTGTTTCTTTTTCTGTTTTGAGTGTCTTTCTTTGCAGGTTTCTGTAGCCGGAAGAACTCTGTTCCGCTCCCAGCGGCTCCAGTGTAAATTCCCCTTCCCCTTGGGGAAATGCACTACCTTGTTTTGGGTTTTCTTTGTGTGTTTCAGTTTGTTTTGTTGTTTTGTTTTTGTTTTTGTTTTTGTTTTCTTTCTTTCTTTTTTTGCCTTTTTTTCCCCCCTTTTATTTGGAGGGAATGGGAAGAAGTGGGAACAGGGAGGTGGGAGGTGGATTTTGTTTATTTTTTTAGCTCATTTTCAGGGGGTGGGAATTTTTTTTAAATATGTGTCACGAATAAGGTTGTTTTTGAAAATAAAATAAAATAAATAAACACATGAGGCTTTGGGGGCTGTTCTAGACCTAAGCCACAGCATACCCCATCTCTTAACAAAAATTTGGGACTGGGGAGACAGCTCAGTAGAATAAGCGCCTCCCTGACAAGCACAAGGGCCTAAGTTCAATCCCTGGTTCCTCCAAAAAAAAAAAAGAAAGCAGGGGGACCGTGGAGATAGCTCAGTAGAATAAGTGCTTGCGTGGCAAGCGCAGAGTCCTGAGTTCAATCCCCGGTACTGAAAAAAAAAAAAAAAATTGTCCCTCACAACGACCCTATGCAATAGGTTTTGTTGCTCCCACTTTACAGCTGAAACAAATGAGACTAAAAGGTAGCTTGCATAAGAGTTAGAAAATTAATCACTTACCAGTCCAACTATTTAAGTACAGGGGAGCAAAAATTGCGTTTTTATTAATTTCCATAAGATAACAGGAGATATAAAAATGATGATTGTATTTAATTCAATCGTTTTTCTGTGTGTGATATGTCTTAAAGCATTCAGTACACCACAATGTAATGGCATAATCTGACAGTAATATCTAGTCTCTTTACAAATTCTTTTTGCATTATTGAATTTCTTTGAAGAACACACTTGACACTGACCTGTAGGCCTTTCCTTTTCTCTGTGGTTAGTAAATTTTACCAAAATATCTCCCCGGCCCAGAAAATGTAACGGTGAGGACATCTGTGATGGACTTCCTGGCTGGTGTTTCACTATCCCACATTGTTCAATTATTTGGTCTAGTAGACCTAATCCAAGTTGTCAATGACTTGTTGAAGCCCCATGTTTTGTAGCATTGGGATTATTTCCATGGGAGACTATATTATAGGAATAACAGAGTCTTTATTAATTTGCTAGTGGCATCCAACATGCATTCTCCAAACTGGGAGCATGCATAGCCCAGTTTTGTTTTGTTTCGTTTCAATTTTTCATTTATTTGATACAGAGCAGCTTGAACCTGCATGGTGAGCCTGGGGTTCCTGGTCCAGCACAGCATGCAGTACCAGCGATCACACTCAAGTCTTTGCTCTTGCCAGGCAGGCGCTTAGACCACCGAGCTATCTCCCCAGCCCATCAGGCCAGTTCTTTATTTCCCCTTTGCTTATTTAGTTGCCCCGGTTACCACAGCGACTACAGTGAAGTGTCTTGGTTACTGGTGCCAGATTTTTAGGACAAGGTTACGGCCCGGGCATATGGTTCAACTCTCCTTCCTTTAATTAGTCCTGCTTTTTCCCTTCTTTATTTATTTATTTATTTGTGTGTGTGTGTGTGTGTGTGTGTGTGTGGCCAGCTCAGCCCACCAGGGGATGGGGCTGGCTGGCATGTGGTGCTAGGGGATTGAACCGTGGTCCCTGTGCTTTGCTAAGCTTGTTCTAAGTAGGTGCTTTAGACCACTGAGCCATCTCACCAGCCCCCCCTTATCTTCTTTGATGTTTGCAAAGTTTTAATAGGCAGGAGAAGGAGTAAAGCATGAGGCAATTCAGGCAGGGTCAGATGGAGTGACCCAGTCCAGGTGTCCCCCTATCGCTAATACATTCTGGGCAGGGGTCAAACTGAGTTGATTTTGCCTCAGTCTGTTCTATTCCTAAGGTGAATTGGATGCTAAACTAGAGATTTCTTTGGCTTAGAGTGAAATTAACCAAGGGCCACTGTCTCCTACAGTTTTGAGTAAATAACAAATGAGTTTCATGTTGTTTCGCACAGAAGGTACATAAATATTTTAAAATAATTTTTCTCACTTTTGGTTGCAGGATAGCATGTTAGATGTTGGTCAACTCTACCAAAACCCACAGAATTATTATAACCATTGACCGTTACTGGAACTCTTAGTTTCATTTCTTCTTTCCAAGTTCTATCATTTCTGTGTTATGAATAGTAGACAACAAGGAGATGTCTTTTGTGTCTTTCCATTTATAACACAGGCATTTCCTCTCTGTTGTGCTAACATTTCTCCACCTTCCACTTTTTTCTTTGGAAGGTTTTTTGACACTTCCTCTCTATTCAGTTTCGGTGTCCTGAACTTGTCCATTTTGTACTGTAGCTCTGCAGAAGTGTAAAGCTTTTATCTAATATGCTTCCAAGAAGAGTTTCTATACATTGTAGCAGAAAATTATAGGTCATTTTTCACAAATCAACACAAATTAGTAAAAGAAAACCAGAACTTGTTATGAGATTTCACTAGATACAACCATCAGAAAGGAAATGCAATGTCTAAACCAAAAAAAAAAAAAAAAAAAGCAGAAAAGTCAATATAAAAGAAGCAGATGCACAAGTTTATCTCATGCAAACAAGAATCAACTGGTTGAAATGACACCTGCCCATGACTCTTAGAATAGTCCGAACATAAACAGATGTGTGGCCCAAGTGACACTCAGGGACCCTGAAGTGGCCAGTAGAGTTTATCTAGTGTATCACTGCCAACTGGGAGTGAGACCACTTTCCCACACATACCGTGGCACAATGTCCCACTTGGTGTGGCTAGCTCTGATTTTAAATGTTTTCCATTTTAGGATGAATATTTGCTGGACATGCTTTTGGTGCCCAGCTGCAGGGATGTGGATTAGAAGTGAGCACAGCGTTCATGAATTCTAGAGCACGGCTGAGTTGGCCTGCTTGCTGCAGGTCTCGGCCCCCAGCACATCCCCTAAGCCTGTGTGCCGCCAGGGCAGGAGTGCCTCTCCATCGCTTTCTCCAGCATCTTCACAGCGCTGTGACTCAGTCGGGACCGGACCCTGAGCCTACTTGGTGTAGTCTGCGCGACATGGGGGCCACCAGGGGGCTACGCGAGTCAGACATGTGGGGCCACCAGGGGGCTAAGCGAGTCATTGCCCCATCTCTGCCCGCGTGTGTTCCAAGTGCTAATCATTGGGAGAAATTCTGCACTTGTCCTGCTGCTCGTGGGGATGAGTTACAAATTGCTGCCCAAACTCCTCTCATGTCTATTCTCATTCTTTTTCCCCAGTAAATGAAAACGGCAACCACCTGAGCACGCTGACGAGTCCTGAGCGCCTTTGTGGGAGAGAAGTTTCTCTACCCCGGTGCTCTCCAGAGGAACACGGCTGTGCCCTGCTCCACCCAGTACGGGTCACCTGAGCCTAGAAGTCTGAGAAATGTCGGGGACGCCTTGGCCACAAGCTGATCATCAGAGGGAATGTGCCAGCTACCACACTGTTCTGTCACTCGCTGTTGCCTGCTGACCGTGAAGACCCGCATGATCTCTATTGAAGCCACTCTCCATCCCAACGCCAATCACTCTTCTGGACTCAGACGTGCTCTTCCTGTGGACTCTGCCATGGCTCCATTTTGCATGCGTCCAGTGATTCTACATATAGAATTTCCTTATCTGTTTTTTAAAAATCCATCCATGCAAAATGATGATAAAGTATAAATTCTGCACTTTTCACCAAATTACAATCTTTCCCCATGTCTTTGAAAGTTTAAATTGGTTTCCTTTGAAGATCAGTGTACTCGGTCTGCCTCTACTTTATAGAAAATTAGCTTCTATAAAGATTTTTTCACTGTTTACTAGTGAAATGAGAAAAGCAAATCTATTTATAAAAGGCCTTATGTTGTGTACATACATTGTCTTTGAAATACCTGTGATTAGTTTATTGCTTGTAAAAGAAATGATATAATTTATTTAGCAAATACTACTGTAAACTATAGTTTTATTGAAAGAAATAAAATATTTTGTTCTCAACTGTGGTCATTCATTGATTCCAGCGATTTATAGTATTGGGTTGGGAGCTATTAAGAATTGAACCGAGTGCCTCACATCTGAGTGCTCTTCCAGTGAGCTACGTCCCTGCCCATAGTTCTTTGGTTTATTAGTTAAAAAGAAATAATCAGGACACTCCTCCTTTGAAGTGGTCTAGATCCTAAAGTAATTGAAGCTCATGGCCAATGGAAGTAGAAAGATTGCTAGTCCTGGAAAAAAGACTCACCATTAGATTCTCCCACCTAGGCCAGCAGAATTTCCCAGACATTCCAGTGCATTCTAAGTCAGTTCTCATGATGTTATGCTGCAGTAACAATCCCAAAATTATAATATCTTTTTTTTAAAGAGAGTACAAATTAAAATTAAAACAGAAGAAATTACAAGTGATACAGATTTTCACTTAACAAAGTAATATGAATTTCATAGTATTTGTTGTAATACATAGTGCTGTCTTCCAACTAGTTATTCATATTACCAGATATGTGCTTATAAAATTGGAAGAAGAAAGAAAAAGAGAAATGTATAGGAAATTAAGAAGAGAAAAAGTACAAACACCAAAACTGTAATAGCTTTGCTCACAGATTTATGTCTCACTCATAGGTGGGTACCAGCTACTGGCCTGCTCTGTTCCCCAGTCCCCCATCTGGAAGTCTACTCACCTATGCTAGGGTTCTTTGTTGCCAGAACCCACTGATTCCCAGGGGGGTTACAGATGGAGATCATATATATGAGTTGGATGTGCATTTGTGTATACAGATTGGTTTTTTTCTAGGAAGAAGAAGGCTTAATTTTCATCAGATTTACAGTGACCTTGACCCAAGAAATATTAAAAGTGTTACATTAATGCCTAACTCAAATTCCATTCGAAAGCAATGGATTTATCATCCCTAACTATCCGTCCTCACCTGATCATCCATAGAGAGCCTGTGGTTATCTCCCTGCCTCAGAAAACTTCATCACTATGTACCTTTTGTAATAGCTGAGGTTAGGCCGGCCAGATAGCTCAGCAGATTAAAGTACCTGCTTAGGCAGATGCAGGGGCCAGGGGTTTGATTCCTGTGTCATGCTGGCCTGGTCCCCAAGGCACGGTGAGATTGAGACTAGGCATGGTGGTGCATGCCTGTAATCCCAGGACTTGGGAAGATGAAAACAGGAGAATCACAAATCCAATCTGTACAGTGAGATCCTGTAGACCCAGTACTAAATGCACAAAAAATTAAAAATAGCTGAGGTATTTCCAGACATGATGGTGCATACCTGCCAGAACTCAGAAGGATGAGCCAGGAGGATTGCAGTAAATTTGAGGTCAGCATGAATTATACAGTGAGACCTTGATTTAAAAAAAAAAAAAAAAAAAAGCATGCTATTTACATGCACCAGCATGCTCAGTATTAATTATATAGGGCAATGAATTTTACTTATATGTACACCAATTTCACTATCACCTGGAACAAAATATGAAATATTTCAGGGCCGGGGAGATGGCTCAGTAGAATAAGGGCTTGTCTGGCAAACACAAGGGCCTGAGTTCAATCCCTAGTTCCGCGAAAAAAAAAAAAAAAAACATTTCTAGCTAACCAGCTCAAGCACTTCCATGTCCTTTCCTTATCAATGCCATCTCCAAAGTCCTCCAAAGTAATCTTTCATTTTAAGGAAGAATGTTAGTTGCCCAGGCTGGTCTTGATCTCATGGACTCAAGTGATTCTCCTGTCCCAGCTTCCTGAGTACTAGATATACAGATGTGTGCCAGTATGCCCAGGGCTAGATAACATTTTTATGACTTCTATCACATGGATTCATTTCATCAGTCCTTGAAATGCAAGTCAGTAGGAGCATACAGTATTTACACTTCATCTGGCTTCTTGCTCTTCATTGCTATCTGAAATTCATTCTTTTTTTTTTTTCTAAATTTTATTTATTTATTTATGTGTGTGTGTGTGTGTGTGTGTGTGGCCAGCTCAGCCCACCAGGGGGCGGCTGGCTGGCATGTGGTGCTGGGGGATTGAACCGTGGTCCCTGGGCTTTGCTAAGCTTGTTCTAAGTAGGTGCTTTAGACCACTGAGCCATCTCACCAGCCCCCTGAAATTCATTCTTTCTTTGTGTAGTGCTAACATTCTTTTTCACTGCTATGTGATGTTCTACGTCTTAGTCTATATCTGTTTTTATAACAAAATACAGTAATTTACAAAGAACAGAAATTACTTCCCTCAGTTCCGGAGACCCAAGGTCAAAGCATAAGCAGCCCAATAAACTCAAGCCTGGCATCATGGGACATACTGCAATCCCAGCACCCAGGAGCCCGATGCAAGGGGAGTTCAAGGCCAGTCTCAGCTGCACAATGAGTCCAAGGACAGCCTCAACTATATAATGAGATCTTGTCTCTAAAAAGCAATATCAAACAAAAACCAAAACCTCAGGTCAGTAACGTGATGAGAGTCTGGCCTTATTTTCCAAGATGGTGCCGGCCAGTCCACCCTCCAGAGCAGTCAACACTGTGTCCTCACATGAAGGGACAGAAGGCACAAACCTACCTCCCCCAGCTCTTTAAGAGGCATGAGTCCCATTCCTGAGAGCAGACCCCTACTCACCCAGAAGCCCCAACTCCTGATACTGTTGAATCAGGCATTAATTTTCTATATATGAGTGTTGGGGACACATGGGAGCCATGAACTGATATATGAGCATGGGACAGTTCTCTATAGCTGCCCTCACATTAGTGAGTATTCTTCACCTGAATTCAAGTAATGGTGACTTCAGCCACATCAACAAAATACCTTGCCAGCGACACTTAGAGTCTTCATTGGGAATCGCTACCCAGGCCTTCCAACCTGCTTCAGACTCCAAGTCCTCCATACTTGCCATCTTGGGATTGAGGAGGTATTACAGTGCTGATCTCAGAAAGGTGACAGAGTCTAGGATAGGACTCTGTGATACCCCGTGCTCTGAGGACAGTACTCACCACGGCACAGCAGAGAAGCTGCTACCCCAAGCCCTTCTGCGGCCTTCAAGATGATTTCCATTCATACCGACTGAATGTGTGTACACGGGTACAGTGTAACTACATAGAGAAGATGCCTAGTCGTTTTTAGTACCGTACCCTGAACCACCACATGGCTGGATAAAAACCTATATCCGGGTCAAGATGTTACAGACAGTGTGAATTTTGAAGGGAGCTTCTGCAACTATATAAAGTACAACAGCACGAGTTCTGGCATGAATAAGCACGACTCCCGGGGAAGAGGTAGAGCCCTCAGAGGCAGGAGAGGGCTGCTGTTTTCCCTCCGGGTCACATCCAAGGCCCTTAACAGTTGGCCCACAGGGCGCACCTGCTCACTGACACTGGAAGAAGCCCCGGTGCACATCCCCCACCAAAGTATGTCTTATCAGCCAAAGGACAGGTGCTGATGCTGGTGGGGCTCAGCTTCTCAGCCCCAGCTGCACACCAGAACCATTGGGGACATTTCAGAGAACACCATAACTGGTTTTGTCTCCTGACATGGACTTAATTGGCCAGCGTTGTGACTTGGACATCAGGATTTTCTAAAGCTCCCAAGGTAATTCCAATAAGGACACGCGTCAGAGGCACGAGCCCTGGGTTCAGTCTCTGGCACCAAAACAAAAACAAAACCTCTGAGTGAGCCTGCAACATTTTATTTGATCTGCATTACAATGGCCTGTGTACTACATTTTAAATTAGAAGAATTGCTTCCTAAATTTAAAACGTAACCAATTTCCCAGACCTTCAATCACCCAGAGGCCGCTCTCCATCAGGCGATCGACAGCAGCCCCTGGTGTCCACAAGACCGCTCCGCTGGGCCGAGCTGCCCTGCCCCCCCCCCCCACCCCCACCCGCTATCACCATAGCACAGGGCTGGGGGACGTTGCTACTTGTCGTCCTGTTCCTGTTCGGTTTCCTTACATCAGCAACAAGAGGGAAGTGAAGTCAGAAAGAGGCACCCCTCGAAGGCAGAGGCTTCGGCAAGACCTGCACCTGTCGGGATCCAGAGGCCTTGGCCACGTGGTGTGTGCTCATGCCTTAAATAGATCTGTGTTTTCCCACTCCAGGCACCTAAATGCCTTGTAGCCGGTAAAGAGCTGAGAAGTGAACGATCCCAACCTAATTATCCTAATAATTACATAGCTCCCTAAGGTAGAAGAAATACTGAAAAAAATAAAGGGCATCCAAGAACCAGAATTCAGGAAATACATGAAGGTTAAGAACTTTGTATTTATTATAAGGTAGTAAGTGGGTAGGAATCAGACCTGACCTATGAGGTACTTAAAAAAAAAAAAAAAAGGAAAAGTTGCAGACCCGATGGGCAAATGCAAGCTTTGCCCACTGCCCCACCCTCAGCAGAGCCCCACTGTCACCAGGCTTGCTTCTAGTCAAGAATCTCTTTCTTTCTTTCTTTCTTTCTTTCTTTCTTTCTTTCTTTCTTTCTTTTAAAAGTCCCTTTCTAAGGCTCTGGAACATTGTACTTGCTTTATCTGGCTCTTGGATCTTCCCAACTGTGTCCTCTGCTCAGTTCCCCAGCCAACCTTTGGGCTGCTGGGTTCCAAGCCCGGTGCCCTCACGCCTCCCTGGTGGAGATGGCTGTCTACGTGCTCCTGTGGCGCTCTGCGTCATAGCCCTTCTGTGGTACTGTCAGTGTTCTTCAGTTATCTCTCTCCTGCACAAGACCCTAAGCTCCACGAGACCATGGTGATTAGCAACCTTGCTGTCTACCATACCACCAGCAGCCAGAGTCCCTGGATGAGGAGACCTAATAGATAAGGATGGAAGGGTGGGCGGGTGCATGAGTGGGACGAAGGGTAGAGGGGCAACAAGAGACAGAAGAAAGAAAGGAAGAACTCAAAGTTGTAATCAGAAAGCAGGAGCCTGGAACTGAAGATATCTCAGGAAAAAACAATTTAAAATGATAAACTCCATATTACAGCTATCGGTCTCAGCTGGGGTCCAGCCTGA